CGATGTGTTGCATATTTCGACAATAAATATATTTTGATTTTTTACATTTTCATGAGAAAACGTTTTGGGGGAAGAAAATATTCTTTAAAACTCTTGCAAGATATTTTGCAAAATGACGAGCGAATTGGAAATTCGCATATATTACAAATATATTGATTTATTACATTTATTGATTTTTAAAATAAAAATGTAATAAATATTATATGATAAATATAATAAATATAAAACTACAAAAATATATATAAAATTTATATAAATATATATAAAAAATATAATAAATATTATATAATATAATAAATATAATAAATATATAATAAATTTTCTTTATGGAAAAATGAATTTACCACGTTCACGTATCTATTACAATAATCTGCGATGTAGAGATTGCATATATTTCGCAATGCACTTTATTTTATTTTGTTTCACACGCCCACACATAAATTGCAGGGCAGAGAAATAATAAAAACAAATATCATTTCTCGATCTTGACGCAATTGCCGTCGACGTCGTTCACAAGTCATCGATTTATCTGAATATATATATATATATATATATATATATATATATATATATACATATGGCAAAATCCAGCTTCTCGAATATAGCTAAAAGGGAATGCTCATATTGCTGCGAGTCGATCGAGCGCATACCGCGACGAATTGCGACGAAGCGGGCAATGGAATAAAATGGCTAGAAAAGAACGGACCCTTCGGGCAATGCACTTGATGCCGAAATCGACGATACGATCCATTTCGAAATATCGCCTGTACAGTTTCGAGTGCAACTGGAATAGAAATCGGTCGAAATACTATAGAGTATCGTAACAATGGGACACTTTGTACAGGCATTTGCTCCCCTTTTCGCTATCGCAACAGGAAATAAATATTGCTTCAGTGCCGGCCCCAAGATTCGACGCGTCGGCTTAACGCGGTGAAATACAGCAAGATCGTGAGTAAAGCGCAACGTGCTTTGACATTAACTGCATTATCGCGTTCACTTTTCATCGTGTACGGCGTTTATTAGTTATTAGTTTATTATTGACGAGAAAGAGAGAATTTTTGCTTTTCACGTAATAATTTTGTCAAAGGCTAAGAAATATATCATAACATATCTTTTTGTGACACTATTTCCTTCGCATGAGAACTTGAAAGCTGACAAGAGTGATATATATCTTTAACGAGATTGTTTGCTTATACTTTCTTTTAAAATATTAAGATTATTTTAAGATATTTTAAATTTTATATTATTATTACATTATAATAATTTTTTTCTTGAAATAATTCAGCTTGTGAGATTGTTATTGCAAATTTAAATTATAAGGTAAAGCTTAGAACATAGGCGTGGATTATACGAAGAGTAAAATCAAAAATCAAGACAGACATTGTTCACGTTGCGACTAAATTTAAAGGCGAAGTAGAAAATTTCACTAGCACGTTGTTTTCCACCGAGTTCAAAGCTACAGATCAAACAACTCGAATTACGTGCCCCGACTAGAAGGTACAAAGTTTGGAAAATCATCCGACGAGTGGGCAGTGCCTGTATTGTTCTCGTAACCGGTGTTTGCTTAACCCGTCCCGTGACTATAACAAGAAGTTATTGTTGCCGCGGAGTGCGCAGAATGCAGAACCTTATTGAATTCGTGCAAGGTGCAGTGAGGAGGATAGCCTTTGCGTATCGAGAACTGAGTTCGATCGCTTTCATTTCCCGGTGTTCATCGAAAGTTGTGAGAGAATGCTTTATTGGATGGCGAAACAACTCCGAGGAATGTAGAAATTCGTCTGGGAAATGCAGAAATACAATAAATAAATACATATAAAATATATTTGATATATATGCAATATATGTATATTAAGGTATTATATAAAATATTTCGTCATGTAAATTAATTTACTATAAACAGATTATCATTAAAATAAAATTGCATACATTTTGCGCAGACAAGGAAACAATTAAATTGGACTTATAATTATCAATGTATCTCAGCAAAAATAGAATCGCGTGCACAATCCCATTATACGTTATATAAGATATTATACATCTCTTGTGTCTCTGCCATATTCTATTATGTAATAATTGTTAGCAATATTGAGGATTATGTAAATACTTATAATTTATGCGCACTTTAAATAAAATTTTTTCTTTGCTCTTATATTTTCTATAACAAAAGCAAAGAAAAGAACAAACTGACAATGCTTGCGGTGAATTAATTTTAGCAGCTCATTGTTTTCAAAATACCGAACTTTCTGATCTCGTTACATCTTTGTTATGTCCTGAGCATGGTCATGCTATTTCCGCAATTTTCGCATGTACCTCGTAACAATTTCAATTTCTACCTGCACCGAAGTCCCATCTTCCCTGGGATACAATGGAGAATTTTATCGGATGCGTCCTATCTCTCCCTTCTTGCATGGTTCCATTGGGATTTCCGATTTCGTCCTTCTCTTGTCTGCGTTCTTTTTCATTATATTTAATTATTCCTGAGTTTATGATAATGATGATCTTCGCACGATCGAAATCTCCGTTAATCGCAAGTTGAATGATTAAATCAAATAAAATTGGTGCTGGGATATGTTATATAACGATCGTATAAAGCGTTATTGGAATACTGATATTTTTTTCCCTCTCCCTCTCCTAAAAATTATGAAATTGAATTATGAAATTGAATTCTGAAAATTATTAAATAAAATTAAAATAAGTTTATTAGTCTTTTCCTTGAAATTTTCTGAAAATGTTCAAAAATGAAGGTATTATTAATTTTAACAACATTTTTTTCTTTCTCATATAATATTTTTTAATTAAATATTTCTTAGTGTACGCATCAAATCACAAATAGTTTACAATATGATTACTAATATATTTTTTCCTTTAAAGAGAACTGATATTATATTGAACTAATATTGAAAGATTTATTAGTTGGCATTTATTAGTTATGTTAATATAAGCTAATGTTTACAATCTAGCTACACGATAGCAAGATATTAATTAGTATTCTGTAAATTGGACACTGCAGTTAATGTAGTCAGAAATGCATTAAACATGCATTAAATAATACATACATACATTATCCCAATTGGACAAGATATTAATAATGCTAATAATGCTAATTATTAGAGAAAAAGGATTATACATATAAAAATATTAAATATTGATGTTGAGTTTTATATATATGCGTACGCATATACAATTTATTTTTTAATATTTTAATATTTAAAAAAAACCGCCCATAGCGTTATTATAGCGAATGAGCGCGTGAATAAAAGCCATTCGTGTTGTTTTCACTGATGAGTAGAAAAAAATATTAAACAAAAAAATATTAAATAAAGGTTATTTAATATAAAAATATTACACAAAAACCATTTTAAAAAAATGAAAATATCGTTTAATTGATGTTATATTTCAAACAATTAAAGATAAAATAAAATTTAATAGAAATGTTTATAGTCAAGAAAATTGTTTATAAAGATAAAAATTTGAAAAATAAATAAAATGCTGTTGAGAAATAATGAAGAATTTTATATATTTAATTAAATAAAGATGGTTTTTTGAAAAAATGTCATTTATAAAAATATATATATGTACGTTGTACATTATTAATATTGCATATATTTTAATACATACTTAATTATACTTAAATTTTAAAAAATCTTAAATTAATAAATTAAATTAAATTTTCTAAATATTTTATCCAATTATATTTTATCCAATTAAAGCGCATTTCCCTTACTGATTTATATATTACTATATTATTTCTCTATTATGTGCATTGCTAGTGAAGTTGACGAAATGTAGGAAATACAGATGTGCGTATATTTATTAATTAATATATTCATTAATTTTTAAATAACTTGCATTGATACAAAATCAAAGTAAATAGTTATATTCTTGGCAGGAATACCAAAGCGTCATGTTTTACGAATTATAGATACAATTGTAAATTGTAAGCAACGGTGTATTAACATATTAATCTTTATAATTCTCGAGTTCGGATTTAATCAAGTACTTATTACAATTACCTACGGCATGCGCAACTTTCATTCAGGCTGCTGCTTCTGATGTTATAAAGTAAGTTCCGCATCTAATCTCGTTTGAATGTACGATATACTGAGAGTTTCCATATTCACCTAACTTTCGACTTTGACTTTAGCATGAATTATATAGTCCGGTCAATGTTTCGTTAGATAAGATTTGTCCATGGATTTATTTTATTAAACTTCTTGACAGAGAAAAGTATTTCTCGACAGAAGTTTTTTGATATTTTTTCGGATAATTTTTAATAATAAAATACGTATAATGTTGTGTATATTTACGTACTGTTGGGTATTTTTAAGATGATACAAGATATAAAATATCTATAGATTCTGTTTACAAATATTCTTTTATAAAGAAACTTGTCATTTATTGACAAATTTTTCATTAAATAAACAAATCAAAGGAATATTTAAGACAAATAAAATGTTATGTTAAATAACATAAATACAAAAAAAAAATTTTATTTGTATACAGAACATTCTAATGCTTCTAATTTAATTACAAATTTTATTATATCCTAAGAATCAAAATTCTAATTATGTTATTTCTTCATTAAATGTATTAAATAAATTATTATATGATAGAATTAAATAAATTATTATATGATAGAATTCATCATCATATTACTATCACCAGAGCCATTTTTTGTATATAAATTGAATAAGCAATAACTTAATTCTTCGTGGACTTGATGAAAAGAGTATTCATATCATAACTTAAAGCTACACAATAACTCTTAATCCTTCACATTATGTGAGATTATTTAAATATGCAATTAATTTACTCCCACAGGGCCAAATTTTACTATAGAAACAATTGTAGAACCTAATACTGTAGAAACAATAAATGGTTGTAATCAGTCATTAAAAAATTCACAAAACTTAAATTTAATTTTATTAAATGAAAAAATATTTTCGCAAAATTATTTTATATTTTCAATACACATTACAAAGTGGTATGTTTTGTTTCAGGTGGTTCCAGTATCGCCAGCGTGGTAGCAGGAAGCAAGCCGACGAGATCTTGGGACAAACCTCAATTCGACGATATTGCACCGCGAAATGTCACTGCCATTGTCGGTCAGACGGCGGAGCTGAATTGTTATGTCAAGCATCCAGGCGACCGTGTGGTGAGTGATATTTTCATGCTACATTTACCACATATCCATTGTTTTTTTTTCCTGTATGTCGGATAGAAAATCCAGGGGAGAATTCTCGCCGACAATGCATCAATTCTTCCGATTCTTTTTAACTATTTGTCGTTTATTCAGCACAAAAATATTATGGTAATTTTATAGAATAAATAATGGATTATACGATATAAAAGCGTGAAGATATTTGATTCTATAGAATCTAATTAAAATCTTATTTAAAATAAGCTATGAAATATGCGGCGCTCGTGCACTGTATTACTTCGCACATTATCACGTCAAGCTGCTATTCCCTGTTACCGTTGATTTAATCACGTTGATTAATGTTGCGAAATTGCTGGTTTGAAAAACGATAGAACACAATTTCTGCGGTATGGCTCTCGTACAATGTTAAGTTGTCGTGTTACTTCAAAATACCTGAAACAGAGATCCGAGATTAAAGTATATGAGCTTGTGGCTTTACGTTCTAACGAGAATTATATAACTGCACGCTACAGAAAAATCGATCAAGAAGACGAAAATTTTTTTTCGTCGAAGTTTGCTCTTGTCGTAAGTAAATCGCATGTAATGCATATTTAACAAGCTTATATAATGCCGCGTAATTGAAGTTTAATCGATATGCGATTCAATTTGATTGCTCCATCACTGAGCATATTTACCCTCGGACAACGTAATCGAAAACATAAACATTCCCATTTAACATGCTTGTACTCTACGTTCATAACAACAAATATTTGTTTCCCTATCTACAATTAATGCAGCATAATTGCAAAGTCGCGTCGCTATTGCGCGGAAACTTTGCGCGTATCGCTATGGAAATCTCTCTCAGAAGAACATTTATCGTTAGGGGATGCAAATGGGACAGCGGAACTCTCAAAGTCTCGACAAGTGAACAATAACGCTGTCCTGAGACAGTTCGCCGCTAACTGCAAACAATTACGGGAAACTCGCGTGATCCAACGTGCTGCGAAACAACGGCAGCATTTTCACGGGGGTCCTCATGTAGAATAACAGCAGGATAAAAACGCGTGCAGGCATTCTTGCATGGATTGCATTCACAACGACCGGCAAGAAACGCAGCGAGGAGGTTCCGGCCTGATTAAATGCAAATCTCGCCATTATTATGGCATCCGCGCGCAGAATGCAACGCAGTCCCTTAACGTCGCTATTCAATCAAAAGGCGTAAAAAAGATTACATTTCCTTCTTAATTAAATAAAATCGCTCGTACGTTGATTTATATTCTCGTTGAATTTCAGCGTGATCGATCGGTTTTTATGTTTCGCTAACAATAAGATATTAATCTTCGCGGTGGCGGTCTGCAAAAAGCATTTATGACATCGTTACGCTTTATCGATTCACCGCAAATTGTTTTGAGTATTATCTTCGACAGACATTAACGGATCGTTAAACTTTAACGACCTACCAGTACTGCAGGCACATAGAAAGTCAAATGTTCAATTCTCGCTTCGGAGGAGATTCGAGTTTGAAACACTTGTACAAAATGAAATACCATCATTTAACTTAGTTGCGTGTTTAAGATTATGCTTATTGCAATAATATAATTAATAACGAATTTTTAATAATTTTAATAATTTTAATAACAAACCACAAGTTTGACAAGAGTAGATTTTTTTATTATTGTTAAAGATATAACTGTAAAAAATATTAATTAAAAAAAATTATATTTTTTTATAAATATTTGAAATAATATTTCCCAAACACATTATAAGGATATATTAGATCACTATAAAATATTTAAATAATATATTTAAAATATTTAATTGATCAATTAATTTCTATTTATTTAATTTAATCGAACATTTTTTTGTAGCACCTTTTTTCTTTCTTTTTTTATAATCTGGAATTTCTAGTTAAAAACAACAATTTTAATTTCAGTAATTTCAAGCATTACTTTTAGAACTTTATATCGGATTTGTATGCAATTTAAATGTAAATTTTAATTTTGCAATCAATTTAATAAAGCATTTTAAACAAATATATCAAAGCAGTAATTTCAGATGATGCGTTTAACTAACTTGCTGTTAAATTTAACAAGAAATATTTCTTTTTCTATGACTGTTTGTGAATAGACTGTTTACAAACAAATAGAATCGGTTATTATTTGATCGGTTATTATTTGATGATTTCCTGGATACGATGAGACTGTTTGTGTCAATTTGTTTGCATTATCTGAACCTTGTTTCAAGAAAGGAAATGTGCATCTCTAGGTTCATTAACACTTTGCCAGCATTAGCGATAATGTAATGTCTTGGTAGAATAATTATCTTTATGTGTAAATGGCGTAGAGATTCGCACATTTGATTACAGTAATTTGTTATCCCTTTATACTCGATATACATTCGTATCAGTTTCAGCTTGTGTATAAATAAATATATGCACATGTAATATGCATTTATAAAAACAAACGCGAACGCGCAAAATTTAAAATAATCTATTAATCACACAAAACTCCCTCGTTTCTCAGTTAATCTATGTCAATTACATTATCTGACTCGTGTCAAACTGCGTGGTTTCTGGAATATTGTACATTGGGCGGCAAACCAGATTCGATTTATACGTAAATGCTCGCATAATTATGAGTGTTTATTCGAGTTAGCATACATATCGGTCCGATATCAATATGTACATTAAATTCATTAAAGTTACGTAATGAACAACTGAGGTTTAATGTTTATTTTGCACTGCATATTCGCGTATTACTACACCCTAGAGCGTATAATATATTCGCATGTATATGGGATGCGCGTTATACATTATTAATATCATTCGTTCAGTTTTAATCGCGCGCGATCATCCGCGATAGTTTTATAATATTTGAGCAAAATTGTTAACACTCCACTTAGTTAACTATTCTCCACTCGCAGCGGAATATCTTTTATTTATTAATCGATGTATGAATTAATGTCCCCGCTTTCAATAATATATTGAGCATTGTTTTGACGCATTAATGTTATTTAGCCGCCATAATATCGTCGATTAATCTGATTCACATAGATACATTATGCGTGCGTAAAGCTTCAAATAACGAAAATGTCCGATAACGTTGTAATTAAGAACTTAAAAAAATTTTAAAAGAATATTAATTACAGAGTTTTTAGCTTCAGCAAGCTTCACGTATAACAAGCGCAATCAATTGTTCAATGTTTCTTAGATACACGCAACGAATCTCGGTAGGACGACATATAACATCGTTATAAAAGAGTTTTATTATTTTGAAACGGAACAATCGTCCTCTTACTTTAACGCGTCATTGGGCACCCCCGACTGTCGTAACAAGAGAGACGGTCGTTAAACCACTTGTCTTCACTCGCTCCTGAAATTCCCGAGAGTGCACGCGCCACATTCTAGGTTCATTCATCCGCGTCATGTGTGTGTGTATATATGTGTGTACATATATATGGTGTCCACTTCTTTTCTCTCTACGAAGAATAATTTGACTCTCTCTGATACTTAAAATATAATACCTCAGAAATAAAAAAATATACATAAGGGAGAAAAGGGGACAAAAGTAATATTTTTTGTATTATAGGTCACTAATTAATTATCGAATTAGAGATATAAAAAAAAGATTATATGTTAAAAAACTCCATTTATTACTCTATTATTATATGTTTCAATCTCAAATGATAAATATTTAAAAAGTTATTATAGCTTTTCTCAAATGATAAATATTTAAAGAGTTATAGCTTTTAGGTTGATTGTTACTTTTGTCCTGGGGGCCGGGGACGAAAGTAACATAGTCTGGGGATAAAAGTAACAGTTCTTATTTTCGAAAATAAAATAAAATAAATATGCCTTTTTTTCAATTTAACGCAACTTTTGTTATAATCTTTTATTAAGCAAGATAACTTTTATTATTTGTATTATATTATATTAAAATAAAAAATAAAATAAATATTTATTTTTACCATCTTTAAAAAACTTAAAAGAAATAATCTTCGTTAAGCAAAATAATTATAAGTAATATCATAAAATAATTATACTTAATATCACACCAGTTTTGTACTTTTTTAAGTCTAAATAATAGTAAATAATAGTGTAAAAATTGTATGATAATTACTTATACAAAAGAGATTGATATCTATTCCGAATCACAATTATGGCATACGTAATAAGAATCGCCTTTGGTACAATCATTATGGGACCAGCCCTTATACTTTAAGCATTGAAACATGTTACTTTCGTCCACAGAGTGTCGTTTTACTTTCACCCCCAAACACATTTTTTAGAATAAAAGCATTATAATCTAAATATGATGCAAGACTTAGCCAAATCAACTATAAAAACTTATGAATACATTTTAGAAGAATACACCGGCAAATAATTATGTCAATATATACACTTTAATTAGGCATAGATACAAAAAAACTAAAACAAGAAATACTTAGGTGAATAATGCAAATACATTAATTTCACTCCTGTATGTGCAATCGGCGCGATCGTTCTACAACAATTAGCTGAAAAGAAAAAGAATCGAGGCGTACGCGTTTGACTATATAGTACAAATTATTCAACATATTGTGTAGTTTAGTAGGAGGCTTGTTACTTTTATGACTTATTACTTTTGTCCTCGGTCTCCCCTACATACAAAGCAAAAACAACACACATAAAACACGGAGAAAATAGTAAGTCTTGAAAATCGCTCATTTAAATTGTTTTCGTTTATAAAAAAATAGCTTGTTTTCATTTTCTTCTTTTAAAATTTCCAAGTGATTTAGAAGATCATGATTCTCGGGAAATTGAAATAAAACAACCGGTAAAGGTACAATGTACAAGCGTGTGCATGTATTTAATGATCGTCTTGGTTGCACAAGGGCTTGCCTTTAATTGGCAGACGCAAGGTCCTGGGAATAGTAGAAGAAGCAAGAATAGGGATCGCGAGAGTGGTTATCCCTGGCTGAACGTCCTCAGTCGCTGGCAAATGAACCGATCAAGCATACCCGGCCAAGTGGTTGCT